CCAACCTGATTGACACCTAAATGCTCCCCTGCTGGCCCAATTGCCCATACCTGCCATCCCCTGCTGGCCCGCCCCTCCCCCAACTGCCCTCCTCTGCCGGCTTGGTAACCCCTAACTGCCCTCCCTTGCTGGCCTGTTCTCCCACACTGCTCTCCTCTGTCAGCATAGTCACCCATAACTGCCCACAACTGCCCTCCCCTGCCAGCCATCTTGTGGTGGCCATCTTGTGTCCACATGGGACAGCCATTTTTGGCCACATGGGGGCGACCATCTTGTATTTTGGTGTGATGGTCAATTTGCATGTTATTCTTTCATTAGATAGTATTTGCTAGATCAATCAATATTTATCATACATGTATTTATGAGCAGATACCGAATTGGGCACTGGGGACACAACTGTGAAGATGGTCACACTTCTGTTTTCCTGAGCTTTTTGCCTAGTGGAGAACATAGTCAAGAGAACAAGTGATTGCAATAGAATGTAATAAATACTTAATCAGAAAATGTCTAAGGTTCTGGATAGCTCTTAGGAGCAGTAACTACCTCAAACTTGGAAAGAATCGCTAGAAGAACTGATTTCTAATCAGAGGCCTAAAAATGAATTGGAGTTAGCCAACTGAAGGCATGGAAAAGGGGAAGATGTTCCAGGCAATGGAATGGCAATTGCAAAAGCTCAGAAGGGGGGAAAAAGGCATTAGAAAGAGATGATGAGAAATGAGACCTCAGAGGTGAGCAGGGATCCTCCTATGATTTCTTAATAGTCAGGCTATGACATGAGCACTTCGATGACAATTGTCTCTGAATTGAATAATCCAGCTGTGTTTCCTAAATTTCTCTGCTTTTTATGGTAAGCACCCTAGGTATGGCTCTATAATTGCACTTATGAAACATATAATTTGTTCAATGGTATGATTCTTGCATTAGACTCTTTTAATCATTAGTTTATCTCCAGCAGGTACCACCATGCATTGGTACTCATTAAGTGTTGTTTGTTGAATGAATGGTGTGTGTTTTTTGTAAAATGGATTACACCCTTCCTGCTTTCTTGAGCCAACTATCACTTTTCTTCAGGTTCATTATTGTATCCAGCAGTTAATGTCCAATGGGCAATTCAGTGGTGCCCTTAGGGGTTTTTGAGGTGCAGCATTCTGTGGATTCCTTTTTAGCTTTTTATTGTGCTGCTCTTTTCCCTCCCTGCCTGGTCCGCACTTGATTGTAATCAGGCTTGATTATGAAGCCTCCTCTCCAACCTTATTGTTTTCTTCTCCTAATCTACAGTGAGCTGGAAACAAGATGATTTACCATTATTTGATAAGACTGTTTGCCACTAAGAGTTGGTAATCCCTGAGTTAGGTCTCTAAAAGGATCTCTTATGGGAAAAATGCATATGGGACTTGTGTGTTAGCTACTCAGAGGCCTTCCTCCTGTTCTCTCCACCCCAGGAAAGGTTAGATAACACTCCAGGTGTGGAGGGGAGGAGGCTGTCCTCTCCTGGTGCAGAATTGCTGATTCACTGTTGGTTCCATAGGCCACAAGAAAGTGTGGTCTGTTCTCAGCTACATACTCCCCCAACTCCATTTTGGCCAAACATTTGAAATACTCCCACCTAAGCTAGCTACAGACTTCAGGCAGTTTCCCCTTAAGGCAAGTTCTACAGGAAGCATAGTGCACCTTCACCTGAGCAGAAAAGGAGGGAGAATAAGAGTCAAGGCTAGTCCTAACTGGTTTGGCTCAGTGGATAGCGCTTCGGCCTGTGGACTAAAGGGTCCCAGGTTCAATTCTGGTCAAGGGCACATACCTTGGTTGCAGGCACATCCCCAGTAAGGGGTGTGCAGGAGGCAGCTTATCAATGTTTCTCTCTCATCGATGTTTCTAACTCTATCCTGTTTCCTTCCTCTCTGTAAAAAATCAATAAAATATATTTTAAAAAACAAAACAAAAAGAGTCAAGGCTGGGCCGAAACCGGTTTGGCTTAGTGGATAGAGCGTTGTCTGCAGACTGAAAGGTCCCAGGTTCGATTCCGGTCAAGGGCATGTACATTGGTTGCGGGCACATCCCCGGTGGGGGGTGTACAGGAGGCAGCGGATCGATGTATCTTTCATCGATGTTTCTGGCTCTCTATCCCTCTCCCTTCCTCTCTGTGAAAAATCAATAAAAATATATTTTAAAAAAAGAGTCAAGGTTGGGACCAGACATCTAGGCTCTGAGTCACAGAGGGATCTAATTTGCTCATTTGCAAAATTAGGATGACAGCATGATATGAAGGAGAGAAAGAAAGAAGACTCAGATTAGACCTGGGTTCTAATCATCACTCAACTACATACAAGGATAGGCAAAAGAAGGTTTATAATTGCAAGTACACAAAACACAGATTTTATTTTTGTACTGTTATTTATTAACTAGAGGCACGATGCACAAAATTCATGCACGGGGAGGGAGGGAAGGTACCTCAGCCCAGTGTGCACCCTCTCCAATCTGGTATCCCTCTCACAATCCAGGACTGCTGGCTCCCAACTGCTTACCTGCCTGTCTTTCTGATTGCCCCTAACGCTTCTGCCTGCCAGCCTGATCACCCCCTAACCACTCCCCTGCCAGCCTGATTGATGTCTAACTGCTCCTCTGCCAGCCTGTTTGCCCCCACCTTCCCTCCTCTGTCAGCCTGGTCACCACTAACTGCCCTCCCCTACAGGGTTGATCGCCCCCAACTGCCCTCCCTTGCAGTCGTGGTCCCTCTCAACTGCCCTCCCTTGCAGGCCTAATGCCTTGCAACTGCCCTCCCCTTCTGGCCATCTTATGGTGGCCATCTTGGGTCCACATGGGGCAGGATCTTTGACCAAATGGGGGCAAATGTTGGAGTGATGGTCAATCTGCATATTACTCTTTTATTGGATAGGATAGAGGCCTGGTGCATGGGTGGGGGCCAGCTGGTTTGCCCTGAAGGGTGTCCTGTTTCAGGATGGGGGTTCCCTTGTGGTGTGGGGTGGCCTGGGCAAGGGGCCTGTGGTAGTTCAGCCGCAATGTCCCCCGGCCACCCAAGGGGAGGCCCTGGTATCTGGGGTTTGTGTATCTTGTACAATTGAAACTTTGTAGCCTGGAGCCAAGCCAAGCCTCCTGCTCCCTATGTGGCTGGCAACTATTTCTATTGGGACTTATGTACCTTATATAATTGAAACTTTGTATCCTTGAGTAAAGGCCTAGGCCAGCCAGGGTGTGTGGAAAGCTTGGCTTCTGTTGCCTGGGAAACCCAAGCCTCTCTCAACTGCTCTCTGTGGCTGCAGCCATCTTGGTTGGGGTTGATTTGCATACTCCTTCTGATTGGCTGGTGGGTATAGTGGAGTAGTGGTTAATTTGCATATTACTCTTTTATTAGATAAGATTATTATATTTTTTATTTGTATTATAACTCTAGGTCTATTTTTGCTCACCCCTGTACTAGCTGTGTGACCTCTGTGTTTCAGTTTCCTCATCTATAAAATGAGAATGATAATACCTACTATTTAAGGTAGTTGTGAGAATTAAATAGTTGGTGTGAAGCTGCCTTGCCAGGCACAGAGTAGAAAAGGTCAGTAAGTGAGATCTGTTAATATTAGGAGAAGGCATGACAGTCTATGGCTTTTTGAACTTTAAATAGGAAGGGAAAATGCATGGACACTATTCTAATACCACTTACTTGGAAAAGAATGGTTTAGGAACTGATGCTTTTAACTATGTAGACAAGGTTACCTCTTGATTGAATTACACCCCCTTTCCCAGTGGGGGTGAGAGGAGCCTACTCCTTGCCGGCCCTGTGCTCTGGGCTAGAGAAGCGGGTTCAGGTAGGTAGGACCCAAATTCCTCTCCCACTGAACTCAGTTCCGGAGGGAACATAATAGTTACTCTAATAATTGGGGCAGAAAGAAACCCCATCACTTAAGTATCATAGTTGTTATGGGGGGTCTCAGGTCCCAAGGGAGGACCTCAGAGGTGGGGTAACCTTCCAATTTATTGTCCAGGCTGGGACTGTCCAGGACAACAGGCATAAACCAGGTTTGTCCTGGATGTGTGTGATCACCCAACTCATAGGGTCCTCTCACAAAAAGTGACAGAACTGGTTTTAAGTTATTTAATATGAAATTGGAGAGGGAGAGTCATGAATACTAGCACTAGAGTGAGCCTAGGATTTTTGGTAATTTGATCACATGAAATGCTTTTTAATCTTACCTTTAAAAACATGTTCACAGTGCATTTATTAAGGGTAAAAAAGCATATTACAAAATTGCAATGTAGTAAATTCCAATTCTATAGGATCTATATGCATACATGGATATATGGATATGTACCAAAATATTAAGTGCAGTTTTTCAAGTTGCAGTGATATTGATCCCTTCTTTGTATTTTTCTGTAGTTTCAAAGTATTAATAGCTTTTATAAATTATAAAAGGTCATCACAAAATAATATCCAACACTCACTAGGCTGTAAACATCTTCAGAGCAGAGGGATGTGTTACTGTTCTGCAAAGAACAGCCTCTGTCTCCTGCCCCACTGGTTCCCTCTCTTACTCCAGCCTTTTTTCTTCACCTGGGTGGCTCCTCTTCACCCTTCAAGATTCTGGACATCTGAGATCCTCTCTTCATTCCCAAATTGAGCTAATTTCCCCTCTGGCTTTCTATATCATCCTGATATACTTCTAACATAGTTTAGGTCTCAAATAATATGATAAACATGTATTTGTTCTCTGTCTCCTCCTTCAGATTAGGTCAGAGACCATGTCTGATTCACTCTGTCCCCAAATGAATCCTACTACATAATAGATGTCAGTAAGTGTTTGTGGAACTAACTGACCTCTGCTTTACCTTCTCCTGCCTGGTGCAGATTGCCACGCACATAGTAGGTATCATTGTATGCTTAGCAAGTAGGTAAATGGGTGAGTGAGTAAATTAAAATGCCAAGAGAAAGGGTAAAATCGGTGGTTCAGAGCATTTGGTGCTAATTGAAGGGCTTGTGTTACTATCCCCCCCAGTCCTGGTCACCCGAGAGGATGACTTCAACAACCGGCTGAACAACCGCGCCAGCTTCAAGGGCTGCACAGCCCTGCACTATGCTGTCCTTGCCGACGACTACCGCACAGTCAAGGAGCTGCTGGATGGAGGTAAGAGCATGGATGAATGGGGTGGGGGTTGGCAGAGAGAGAAACTTGACAACCTCTCACTCTGGAAATGCCATGCTCCCCCATATCCCTGTTACCCTCCCAGGGCTGGAACTGCTTTGAGGGTGGCGGTACTTAATGAGAGGGACAGTGTGCACATGTGATTTGACCTCGTATGGGTGGAACATCTTTGCCTACCTGTGTTCTGTACCAGACCATCCTGCCTGTCCGCACATGCTCTAAGAGTCTTGTTCGTTGCAATCCCTAAAAGTGTCCTTTCTTCTCCACTATGACCTCTAGTGCAGGGCTAGTAGAACGAAGGGAAGGACCTTCACATCCCTATTAACCCACGTCTCAAAGACATCCTCTTTGATTCTACCTCCACTCAAGTCTAAACTCATATTTGTCACAATCTGACATTGTTCTTATGTTTTCAGTAGTCTTCTCCCTAATTTGACTCTGTGCTCCCTGAAGTCAGCAAACTCATTCCCAGCACCTAGCGCAGTACCCAACACACAGCCAGCACTAAATAACTATTTGCTGAGTGATTGAATACCCTCCCTTGAGAGAACATGATTTATATTGAGGGACAGATTCAGGCTGGTCTGCTCCTGTCCAAGTCTGGTGCAGAGTTATCTTTCACCCAAGCAGGCACTTTTCATACTACTTTCTTTTATCCCACTAAAGTCTCTTTTCTTAATAGGGAGCAATGCATCTTGCCAGGATGTGTGGTGCCCAGGCCCCTGAGTATGGCACATGACTGCCTTCAGTGCCACTTTGTGGGGCTAGAGACCATCTTTGGGGCTAGATACCCACCTAAGGGCCTGCTTGTCAGGGATTATTCTTCATAGAACTTACGGGCTGCAAGGGTCCTCAGAGGTCATCAGGGCTACCACTCTCCTGCTGGCACAACCTTTCCAATAGTTGGCTGGCTGGCATTTCCTTGGATTTTGTCAAGGACTAAGGGAACTATTTTTTCCCTAGAAGCCCATTCCATTTTAGGTATTCATTTAGTTCATTTCTTCTTTGACTGCATGAAATATCTTTAAATAAGCTATTATTGTCTTCTCTGTAACTTATGCCTCTTCAGCCCAATCACTTTTTCAAAATTCAGTCTTCAGAGACAGTTCTTTTCATCCCAGAAACTTTGCCCTGCTGGCCCAGCACCCCCAAATCCAACCACACTGGCTTAATACCCAGGCATGGCCCAAACCCCCAGCCTACAAGAAACCTGCCCCAGGATGTGCTTTGGTCTGGGGCATATACATTGTGGTAACAGTGCTTAGGATGATTGAAGCTTTTGGAGCAAAAACTTAATGCTCTCAGAAGCAGACTTAGAAAACATCCCAAAGCAGGATGCTACTCACTTTGTCCTTTGGAAAGCTCTCTGGCGAGACATTTCTAGCTCAGAATTGGAGCATTCACCGTGGGGCTTCTCTCTGCCATGCTTTAAAATCAATCAATATCCCCAGCCATTGTCCAGTGGCTTACATATCCTGCTTCCCTTCAGCCCCCAAACAGACAGGGATTCACTCTAAAAAGAGACCCTCTCTCCAGCTTTCCAGATCGAACACCTTTGAAATGAAGAGGCATGGGCCTTTTATGAAGTGTCCCTCCTTCCCCCCAGGCCAAGGCTGGCCCTTTGAATCATTTCAGGGGCATGGTTCCTGCCTGTTGACTTGGAACAGATGCCTGTTGCCCCCACTTTTACAATTTGCCCACCTGCCTTTTTACCCAGCTTCCATTTACACCCCCTGCCCTAGCCTCCCAGCCTCAAGGGCCAAAACCATTAACCCACTTCTTTCTCCCTTCCTGATCTGAACAAGTGGCCGTCACTCAGGGCTACAGGCCTGCCAACGTATGACCTTTCTCCCCCCTTGACCTTTCTTGGTTAGCCTGTGTGTGTGACCAGCCAACCGAGAGGTGGGATTCTACCTCCTCGTCGTGCAGGCTGTTGCCAGTAACATTTTCAAAGTCTTCTGACCTCAGTTGACCTTCTCCAAGGGTTTCAGGGAAAGCAGGAGAGCTTTCTTCCTGACCATCCACTTTTCTTAACCTATATTTGCCACTGGCTTTGCTGCAGCAAATGAGAGGGAAGTGCTCTCTGTGAGATCAAGGGGCCAGCCTGTGTTTACCAAGTCTACCCAGAACCCTTGTCCTTGAAATTGCTTAGTCCACAGGGATTTAGGGTCCCCGGATCTTAGAGAGTTAGAGCTGGAGGGGCAGCTTTTCTTGACTTAGCAGTACTCATGAGAGAGCTGGGAGGAGGTCCAGTCAGCAGTGTGATAATGTGGGAAGCTCACTGACCCCTTTGGAGGCCAGGTAGAGAAATAGAAAGGATGTCTTCAGAGTCAGACCAGCTCCCTCACCCTACTACCGGTACTGTCTTGTGTTGCCTTAACTCTCTAAGCCTCAGTTTTCTTGTCTGTAAGATAACACCTGAGAAGTATGATAGTGATAGCATGAGGGTTAGAGATAAGGACTGTAAAAGCCTCTGCTCCATGCTCTATCCTATATAATAAAAGGCTAATATGCAAATTGACCAAACAGTTGAACAACCAGTCGCTATGACATGGACTGACCACCCGGAGGCAAAAACTCAATGCAGGAGCTGCCCCCTGGTGGTCAGTGCTCTCCCACATGGGGAGTGCCATTCAGCCAGCAGCCCTGAGCTTCCCAGCCCACTTGCTCTTAGTGTCAGTGTACCTTGCTTTTTAAGAGCTTCACCTCTTTGCTGCTAGATTCTCACCTTAACGCTACCTTTTCAGTTATCAGTGCTCATCACCTCAGAAACACTTAAGATTTATAAAACCTAATAGCACTTTTCCCAGGGCTTCCCTTATTCTCTTTCCTGCCTACTTTTCATGGCTCTTCCTTGCCCCCATTCCTTGCAAATGACTCAATTGTCAGTATTAACCAGCTATCATCAAATGAGTCCTTAAATTCCCCATCATCCCTGCCTGGGGCAAAGATCCTTCCAGTGCTGACATCTCCTTTATCAGCCTGTTTGTTGTCCAGCTGCAAACTTAGAGTTCCATTTCTTGTTCCACTTCAATGTCTGTCCATCTGCCTGCACTGCCAGATGTTGAGGGAATCTGTTTGCCTCTGGCTGTCCTCTGTGGAAACTTCAATTTCTGATTCTTGCCAGTAGTGCAGAAGTGGGGAATGAGCACTGGGCTGAAAATACAAAGATCTGACTTTGCCACCAATAAATCTTTTTTCCTTTTGGAAAATCCTTTCTCTTCATCAGTCAAATAGAGAAGTTGGAGTGGCTGATTCCAAGAACGCCTTCCAGCTCCAGCATCCTTTATAGCCCCTGGGCAAGCCGTTTCATTCATTTTTCAAATACTTACTGACCATCTTTCCTGTCCTAGGCCCCACCCTATGCACCAGGGAAATAAAGATTATCCAGACATGGTCTTTGCCCTTAAGGAACTCATAGTTCAGTGAGGAAATCAGGCACATTAACAAAGAATTTCTATGTGGTGTGTTAATGGAGATGTATAGAAAGTACTGAGGGATCACAAAGAAATCCCTTTTAAGTCTCTGGGGAGAGCAGGTAGGAGATGGTATTTGCACTAGGATTTAAAGAATGTGAGTTTACCAATAGGTAGAAAGGCAGAGAGGCAGCATGAGGGAGAAAGGCAAAGAGAAAAGCATGCTCAGAGGTATGGAGTATGAAGCAGCATACTTTATTCAGCACATTACAGTCAGTTCAGAAGAGCTAGGTTAGAAGGGTCAGAAAGCAAGAATGGAAAGCAAGAGCCAATAATGAAAGTCTATAACAAGCTCAGCAAAGGAAATTGGACTTAATCCTACAGTGGGAGCCATTAAGATTAAGGAAGGCTTAGAAGTCTCAAAATTATTGATCAGTATTTGAATAGATAATAAATTATGGCATGTTCATACATGAAATAAAAATTGGGTGAATGAGAGAACAAATAAACTCTTGCTCTATACAGCATGGAGGAATCTCACAAACCTTATGTTCTGAACACAAGCTAGACATGAAAACCTGACTGTACCTAAATGTAAAGTCCAAAATAGACAAAACTAACCAGTGGTGTAAGAAGTCACAGTAGTGTCTTGGAAGGGTTTCTAGGGTGCTGTAATGTTCTGTTTCTTTTTCTTTTTTTCTTTTTTCTTTTTTTTTTTTTTTTTTTTTTTAAATATCGATGAGAGAGAAACATCGACCAGCTGCCTCCTGCACACCCCCTACTGGGGATGGGAATGTGCCCGAAACCAACGTACATGCCCTGACCGGAATCGAACCTGGGACCTTTCAGTCCGCAGACCGACGCTCTACCACTGAGCCAAACTGGTTTCGGCTCCCTCCCTCTTTTAGATTCCATGGTCTAGCATTCTAAGTACTCCCTTGCTTCTTTCTCTTTCCTTTGTACCCACCTGATGAAATGCTTACCCTAGTTAAACTCATTTTCTTTTTTACTAAGCTCACTTTGCATTTATGTACATGAGTCTCAGCACTGCCAACCATAGCACTACACTTTTTGAGTAAGATCACTCTCTTATTCTGGACCAAGACAGTTTTTTAATACCTTCTCTCTCCTCAAATCTCCTTTCCCAACTCCCAAGCTAATATCACCTCATACTTCATAGAGAAAAAGATTGCACTCAGAAGGGAATGACCTCACCTTCCCTCCATCATGTCCACCTGCCTACCTGCATTTAGACTTCTGTATTCTGCCTTCCTCCTCCACAGTGGAGAAAGTTCCTAAGACCATCTCTGCATTTGGGCTTGAGCTCTTATTTCCTCTGGCTTCTCAAGGACTTTGCTCCTACAGTTAGCCCCCTTCTCTCCTCATTATCTATTCTCTTCCCTTTGCTGGCTCATTCTCTTCAGCATAAAACATGCCTCAATATCACTCATCTTAAATAACAAAGTAAATTAAAAACTTCCTTTGAATCCATATGCACTTCCAGCTGCTACCTCATTTCTGCATCCCTTTATGGTAAAAGTCTTCAAAAAGAATGATTATTAGCCA